AAGTGTATGGAGACTCTAGCTCTATATAGACTTTTGAGACACAAGTATTTTTACATGGCATTGTGTAAATCTTTGCCTAGTTTATCCATTGCACACCTGTGGATGCAACCTGTTGTTCTGGTATTGATTTTATCCCACCGGGTGCCATGGACTTTAGTCACAGAAGTCCTATTGGTGGGTGGGAGGTCAGCATATAAAAGTCTTCCCAGCATGAAAATTGTGTAAGAGGTTGGCCAATGTCCCTCAATTGTACGAATGGCATAGGAGCAAGTAGAGGAAGTGTGGACAGGTAAAGTTCTCTTCACCAGCTCTTAGCCCAATAGGGAAAGAAATTTTCCTGTTTTAACTGAAACTAAAGTAACCTGTTTCTACTCTAGTAGCAAATAATGTAGAAGTTAAGAGCAGAGCTCCTGCAGCCAGGCTGCTTGGGTTCAAATCCCAGATCTGTTTCTTGTTAGCCATCTAACTATGGGGACTTTCTTTACCATCTAACTGGCTCAGTTTTCCCATCTATAAAACAGAGATAATTGTACATATCGCACAATTCTTGTGAGACTTAAATAAGTTAACATGTACTTAGAGCAGTACTAGTAAGTGCTATCCTAACATTTGCTATTATTACTTCATTTGGATGTTAATCATTGGATTTGTAAATCGCACTAGAAATCTGACATTATTGTATTAGAACACTTTCTTTTAAAGCTGGGTGAATTTAGGCAATGTGACACAATCAAGAACAAATGACACAGCTAGTTAGAGCCCAACCAAGGAGCCGAGGCTCTAACTATGGGGTGTCAGGTGCGACCTCGGGGTCAGTGTTTCTCCCTCCACACTATGTAGTAGTTGTGCTGTGGTGGAAAAGCACACGACCAAAAAGGATGTATAACCTACTTCCTACCTCATAAATGCACCTGGACCTACCAGAGTCTTCCACAGGTGACTCTGAGGACCTCCAGGCCCTTTCAGTCTAGAGGAGGTGCTGGGGTGTCAGAATGGTACGCCCAGAGAGCACCATCTGGGGTTGTAGTGCCCAAGACTCTCAGTCCATTTCACTAGCAGCCCCCCAAAAAGCAGTTGCAAATCTAGGACACACACTCAGAATAAAGTAGGATTTCCATAATGTTGATAATAAAGGGAGCAATTATGGTAATAACAGAGTATATACATGAGGAGAAAACATAGATGCACCCACAAGTCTTCAAGAAAGTTCTGATTGACTCCCTGGAGGTTGCCTTAGTGAAGAATCAGTGCCTGTTTTGCCTTGTTTTGTTTTTCCCAGTTGACAGTGATTGAAAGGAAAGCCACCTGATAGTAAGTAAGAAAATACTGGCTCTGAGTTCAGAGGTGCCTGGCTTTAAATGACTCTTACTTACAAAACAGTGACCTTGAGCAGAGAACTTAATTTCTCCAATATCTACACTGTGGACTATAATTGTACCTACCTCCAGGGGCTACTAGAGGATTAACAGGATTGCCTGCCGCATAGCAGAAACTCAGAGTCCGTATTCTGCCCACATCTATCCTCTCTGTGGGGAAATAAGATCAGAGATGACTGTCAGTGCTTTTGTGTTGTGTAGTACCTACTATTCAAAAGTAGACCTGCCTATAACAGATGCTAAGGCTGTTGAGGACTTGCAAGTACCAGACATTATTACTTCATCTAATCCACACAACTCCAGGAGACAGGGCGCTGTAATTTCTTTGTACAGATGATGAAATTGTGGCACAGAAAGTTCAAATAGCTTGCCTGAGGTCACACAGAAGCGAACACTAGGCCCAGGATTCAAACCCATAGACTCAGGATTCAGAGTCCAGGGGCTTAACCCCTCCACTGCGATGCCTCTTGGTGTTACTGCAAGTCTCATGGGGTTATTGTGAGGACCAGGAAACATGATGTTTGTGAAACACTAGTGTAGAGCGAGCAGACACAGTGCAAGTGATGCTAGATGTTATACTGACAGCATCGGAATGTCCCAAACCAAATGAGTCTGAATCTGGTGACCTTTGAAAGAGAAGCAACCTAAGTGCCTTCATTGGACTGTGGCTCCTCTTGATGACAGTGCCCCAAAGAAATCATCAGAACCACTAACTCAGGGAAAGAATTAGAACTGTGGTATCGACCATTATTACAACCAATGCTAGATGTGGTAACTCAGTTGTCATGCTGTTTCTTCCCTTGAACTTTCAGCTGGGTTTCATCAAATTAAAGTACACAAAGACCAATGTAGACTTTTGATTTTTTTATATTGTGCCTATGATGAAAAAGAAAGTACAGAATTCAAGTAGCAATGATGGCAACTTAAGTATGTTTAAAAATGGAAGTCTTCATGGTGGTCATCTGATTAAACGGCCTTAAGGGAGGTGACTAGATGCTGCGTGCTGTCTGTACTCAGAAGGCATGATTATTTGGGTTTCTGGAGGAGCTGATGGAGATCATAGAGAGAGTGGTGCTAAAGGGCTACCCCTTGACCCTGCCCCTGAGTAACGGCAGAATTCATTGTTGTTACAGAGTGAAATTTTCAGTTTGCCCAGTGGTGTTAAAAATATTTTTGTAATATTGACATAATAGAAAAATACATAGGTGAACTGAAATAACCCAAACCCAGAGAGAATGCCCAGCTAGATCCTCAGGAGACAGTTTTAGGGAGAATAAACAATGGAGAAAAGTTGTTATCTTTATGCCACCATCTGTTACGAACTCTTTCCACTGCCACACACTGCTGTTGTCTTAACAGGCAGAAGGCAACGATGACAAAGTAGACCGCACTCACGAGGAGGAGGAGGAGGTAGGCATAATAGGCAAAAGTGTTGGTGAGCTGCAGCGGCAGGGTATCTAAGAGAAGACTTTGGTTGTTTCGACTTTTCTTCTGAAAAGCTGGAACATATTAATGGGAGGGTGGTCACAGTTATCTATTTCTGATGACCTACATTGCAGTGACACCCCACACCACCAAAAAACAAAAGTAAACATCTATCCCGTCCGCCACATCAGACAACAACAAGACAAATCAGAATGCATTTTACAAGACATGTCAATCAACAACCTAAATTCATTTAGAATATTCCAAATGTGAAATGTAAGGCTGTATTTTTAATGCATGGGTCCAATGGGAAAAAAGTATTTGTGACAAATAACGTTTAACATTTCTTCACACCCACGATGTCCCTAAGTGATAATAGCTAATATTCATTAACCACTAATCAAACGCCAAACACTTGTTCTGAGAGCTTTGCATACAAAGCTTTAATCTTATTTAAGTTTTACAATAAGCTATGAGATTTTATTTTGTGAGTTTATCATTTTTAGTCCCATTATTCACATAAACTGAAAACAGAGAGAGAAGTAATTCGCCTGACGTCATGCATTTAGTATCAGAAACCAGATTCAATCCCAGCACCATGACTTTAAAGAACACATTTTTAGCTATTCTGTAATTCTGCCTCCAAGTGCAATAAATACCCCAGACATCAAAACATTAAGCATAAATATAAAGTTGAATTCTTATTCTGAAGCATCTGAGCCATTACACGCTGTGATGCAATGTGATTCCTATGAAGGGTACAACCCGTGGAAATTTGGTGGTGTTCACAGTGCAGTGCGTGGGAGGATTTAGTAAAGAAGGAATTATATAAAATGGAAGAGAGTGGTTAATCCAAATTCTCTGAAACTTTAGGAAGTCATGGCTCACTCACTTGTCCTTCCTAAATGTCCCTCACTGTAACTATGATGTTAGAGGATATCTGCTCTTAATACGATTGAAGTTTTCAAAGAAATATATGATGTGAAGAAATAATTAGTGATAATTATGGCGAGCCAGTCTGGCTATTGAATGAACCACAAGGCCAAGTCTCTTCCTGTGGAAATTACCCTTTTACATGTTTTATCTTAATAGAGTCAAAACTGTAGATTCATTAGCACTCTGTGTAGAAATGGATCTCAGAGTGGGTGTGCTCATAACTCCTTGCCTTTGGTCAAGTAAGGTGTTCGCGGAGGTCCAGAGCCGCCTTAATATCAGAAATGGAGGAACTATCAGCAGGGCTTGAGCCAACACCTCTAGTTACTTTCTTCGTACATATATATGGAGAAAGAGGCACAAACTAGTGCTGATTCTGTGACAGCCAAATGAGACACCCTATACTAGACATTCCACTTAGGTGACCTTATCTCTTCAATAACTGAGTTAGGTGTATAAATTCCTGGTTGGCAGATGAGGAAAACCTTGCTCAGACTATGTAAGTAATTTTCCTATTTTGATGTAACTAATCATTAAAATAACTGGGGTTCAAGTGCAGTCTGTGATACTGTGAAGCCCATGCACTGACCCACCCCCCACTACTTGTCCATCGTGCCTCAGAGCCTTGGCTTTGGGGTTTCTGGCTCTAGGACTATATCTTAGAGGAGGAAAGGAAGACTGAGTAAGTGTATGAACTCTTAACTCAGATGGCCAGGTTGAAACCCCAGATCTAGCTATGTGACATGGTGCAAGGGCCTAATTAACTTTACTTCATTTTCAACATCTATAAAATGGGGAAAAAATATTGTACCACCTCCTAGGAGTATTATGAGACTTAAACAAAAAAATGCATGCGAAACCCAGCACAATGCCTTCTGTATACGAAGCTCTCAGTACTTCTCAGTTCACGTTATTAGCTACTAGCAAAGATCAAAGACTTCAAAAAAATCTAGAAGCACCTTGATATCATGTATTCCTCAGTCATTAGAAACAAAAGCCATGCAAATGAATGAAGTCCATTGCCGAAATAATTCAAAGCCTATCACTGCATCCTCTAATTCAGTCATCTCATCCCCAAACCAGCATTTATGGTGTTAAGATGACTCCTAGGAAATGATGGATTGATTTAAAGTATCACTCAGTCTATTCTGCAACAGCCAGCCATTCTAGTTTTTCTATGTTAAGTCAGGGAAGTTTAAAAGTTCAGTTGGTCAGGAAGAAAACATGCTACAACATGACATGAAGGCAAACATATGCAAAACTTACCACTTTCCTCTGTTGGGGAAGCTGTTGTAGAATCAGTAGCAGTGACAACTAGGAGAAATGAGACCAAGTATTAGTCAATTCTCCGTGCCCATTACTTGACTGTGTGTGTGTGTGTGTGTGTGTGTACACATATATATTTATATATATATAATATGCTGAGAAGAGAGACAGTCATTAAAAATATAAATATTGTGAGTCCCTCAATTCCAGTCTTTTGTACTTTAAGCCTGAGAAGTTCCAAAGTTAAGATGATCGGGAGGGAAAAAAAGGCTATAGCACGACAGAGAGGCAAACATAGACAATCACTTACTGCTTTTATGTTTTGGATAAGCCCTTGTGGAATCGACAGTAGTAAAAATTGAGGTGGCAACCAGAAGAAGTGAGAGCAAGTATTAGTCAATTATTCATGCCCATTATTTGACAGGGTGTGTATCTGTTTATATGAGTATGTGTGTATGCACACACACATACAATCCGCTGACAGAGAGACCCTCCTTAAAAATATGAGCCCTATGATTACAGGAGTAGCTCATCTGATTCTATGTAATTCAGTACATCTAATTCATGTTTCACTGTGTTTCTACACATGAAGATGCTGACCTTCATGAAGGATACATTGTTTTCTTCTTTATCACAACTGAACGATAATATCCAAGACTATCCTGTTTTCCTTATGTACTCACAGCTCCTGGCACAGTGCCCACCACAAAAGAGGTGTTGGAGAAATACTTGTTGAATGGAAAAGTAAACCGAAAATGTGGCTACTCTACAGTCTTCAGCACATGATGCTGACATGAAGAGTTGCTACCAAAATCAATTCATCAAATCTTAGAATCCACAACAGAATCTCACATTTGACGGAATCTGGTTTATGCAAATTTCCCACCTAAACAAAGGAAATCAGGCATACCTTTCCAAAGCATGCATATCCCAATATCCCCAACTCATATACATGATTTTCTGGAACGGTGGTGTTTGTGGCCATGACAACCATATGAATAAAAGCTAATAGCTATTGGGACTGGCCCAGTGGCGTAGTGGTTGCGTTTGTGTGCTCCACTCTGATGGCCTGGGGTTCACAGATTCCGATCCCAGGCACGGACCTATGCACTGCTTGTCAAGCCATGCTTGGCAGGCATCCCACATATAAAGTAGAGGAAGATGGGTATGGATGTTAGCTCAGGGCCGATCTTCCTCAGCAAAAATAGGAGGTTTTGCAGCAGATGTTAGATCAGGGCTAGTCCTCCTCACCAAAAAGAAAAGCAGGTAATAGCTATTGAGTGATTATTACTGTGCCGGGCACTGTGTTAAATGCTCCACATGTGTTATGTCCTTTAATGCTCCAGTCACCCTGAAGTGAGTTGTAGTTTGGAGGACTCCTTGTTGCAGATGAGGAAGCAAGGTTGGGCGTGTATGTAATTGCTGAGAGTCAGAGCCCTGACAGCAGAGCCAGTGTTCAACGGATCCTTGTGGGAAATTAAGTGAGGTACAGCATGTGGAAAGTACTTGGTAAAAATAATCCATAGAAATAGAAAATAATCTATAGAGAAAAAACATAATTCCACTATTGTGAACACTGAAAACATCTTCTCTTCAAAATATGTTAAATATTTTTAGGTAATGAACATTTTATTACAGGAACTCAACATTTCACTGTAATTCTTTCCAAATATAGGCTAAATCACGTATACTTCTCTGAATATATACAACCTGAGGTGAGGCTTATAACAATGCAAAAAAAAAAAGAAAAAGAGGAAGGCAAACATACAAACATAAAATTTTCTTTAAAGATAATTGATTGTTGGACGGAGGAAAACAAGAGTTGAACCAATTGTTTTGGTTTATCCTTTATCTACCAGATGTGATCTTGTCCATATGGATGTGGATCTGGTATACAATTTTATGCACTCAATGAGCTATATTTTTTGACAGCTCTAAAACTGAGTTTGAGATATAGAATTTGGAATAAATTCCAAGAATAAAAATATTAACATAGCCATGTTTAGATTTTAAAATATATTCAACAACGACTGTAATGTGTCTTAGAAGTCTTTCTTTTTCCTTAACAGTGACTTTTTCGTTAAAAAATAAATAAAATTCTTTTATTACCATGCATTGATTGAGGAAAAACAATAAAGTAACAAATTTTCATAATAAAATCTGTGTATGTATCATAACTTCTCTTTTTCAATCAAGGTTGGCGAAAAACTTGGACCAGATTAGTTTTATCTCTTCAAAATGACTTCATTGATTTGTGCTTCCATGTTATATTCCTAACTTTTATCAAAAACAAAAAACTCCCAAGAAATAGCATTAGAAATTTCCTGTAGAATGACAGTAACAGAAATGTCCTCTTTAGCTTTGTTGCCCTGAGTGGCCCATGGTCTGCGTTACTTTCAGAAATTAGGGGCCAAGTAAAACACATTATGAACAGCAACTTCTCTCTGATAATCCTCACCGTGGAACTCACTCTGCAAATTATTTTTCCCTGGTCACTAGAAGAATCAAAACCTAACAGGACACTTCTGCCCGGTGGTTATACTAAACTTGTATTTTGCATATTTGCTTCCCTTCTGTTTCTTAGCTGTAGAAATAGTAAATTAGGGCTGGTGTTTAAATCTTACGTTAGTGAGTTTTAGGAAAGGATATTAAAAAACACAATAAGTACAACAGCAACTAGAAGGATGTGCAACTACGACATACAACTATCTACTGGGGCTTTGGCGGGGGCGGAAAGGAGGAGGATTGGCAATAGATGTTAGCTCAGAGCCAGTCTTCCTCAGCAAAAAGAGGAGGATTAGCATGGATGTTAGCTCAGGGCTGATCTTCCACAAAAAAAAAAAAAAAAATACAATAAGTACATAAATAAATACATCATGCTATGTTTTCAAAAGCTAGGGTTTTCACTGTCATTATTACATTTACTCTTCATCACGGCCTTAGGAGAAAGCCAAGGTAAGTGTTCGAAGATAATTGGATCATTGAAAAAACTAAGGAACCAAAAAGATAAAGACTGACTTCAGAAATTTGACTGGAGCACAGCAAAGGTCTTTGCACATTTTGTTCTGTGCTTGTTCCCCACTGCTTCAAAAGGGTTTGTGAGCCACAGGGCAAAGTACAAACTAATTCATTCTTATGGGCACTCTGGGGACTTCGGTTTGTTGTGTTCATACTCAGGACTTTAAGTCTTGAGTCTAGTGAGTTACTGGACCACTGCCAGGACTCTTTTGATACATCATGCCTGAATCACAAGTGAACTTGAGAGATTAGGAAAAGAATATATTCTCTTTACTGTAGTGCAGCCTCCTTGGGACAGTAATTCATCCCAGTGTGCTCATCCACACATCCCTTCCAGGCCAGGCACAGGCTAGGTCTGCAATAAATGTTCGTTGAGCTGCATTTACCAATGGCAAGAAATACATTCATTATGTAGAATGAAAGTATGTGTGTATGCATTAGCCTCATCCAAACTCTAATTAGGAAATTTTACCTTACGGTGGTACATAAAATACAAATTCAGAAAATCTAAGATCATAATAAAACTGCAACGGCCAAATTATGCTATTTTTTGTTGAGCCACAATTTGGCTCTCAAAAGACCACAAGTTTGTCACCTACTAACATTGTTTTGAGTTTATAATCTGATAATAGCAAGATTAAAGTGAGTGACTTTGTTTACTGAGTAGAATATTCCAGAAAGATGTATAATTGCTTTAGTTCCTGATCAAGTAAGTTCATCAAAAGAGGAGTCTCTTTTTGAGCATTTCCTGTGTGCTAAATTGTTAGGTGCTTTCACATATGTTGTTTCATTTACTCCATCAATCACTCTAAAAAACAAGATTGAGACCTTAATATTTTGGTTGATAAAACTGAGGCTGAGAAAAGTTAAGGAATTTTTCTTTTTCTTTTCCTGTTTTCCAAAGTCTATACTATTTTAATTCTTAGGGGAAGTAGAGGGACATTTATGCTACCAATAAATGCAACAACATTTAAGAAAGATTTATATTTGATTGTTTTTCATTAATACTTGATAGAAAAGGTAGGATATTCCCTTTGAAAAAAAATGTTCTGGGAGGTTATGTTTATATATACATACCTTTGTTCACTGAAGGAAAAAGAATCTCTTGGTCAACCCCTCCTCTATTATTCTCGTGTTGGACATCTGTGTTCTTTATCCATTGACTTTTCAGTCACGGTCAGCCAGCTGAATTTCATGTACGTGTCATCAGTCTTCATGGTGTTTGCCTGCTGGGATTCCAGACTTCTATTGCCATTCTTTTCTTTCCAATATACCCTTATAACATCTGGGAAGAATTTCTCAAGAAGACAAAGGTATGTTCCAGCATTATGGAGATTTATTTCAGCAACTGAAGGAAGAAAAATAGTGGGCTTGGGGGAAACATCTGCAGGAAGGCTTCTGTCTGTGGGGGAAAATGGAACAGCAGTTAAAAAGAATCATTAGAGAAGCACAAATATTGTGTGGTCTGGAACAACCTAGCGCATATAGTAAATGGAAGAAAAGCTGCCATTGAATTAGTGCTTACTGTGGCCTTCCATCCACAATAGACTGTGAGGTATTTATTGTTCTTATTTTTAACGGGAAAAGATCTTCCAGAGGTTATGTAACTTGCACAGAGTCACAACTGTAAGTGGCAGAGCCTGTATTAAAATGTGGCTTTTGTTCTTTCTCCACATGCTAGAATGGGGTATGCCTATTAACTGCCCCATTTCAAGGCATCTAACGTTCATGAGCACACGTATTTTTTAAAACTTCTTTTGTACCATCATATGGAGCATGTTTTCAAGGTGGGTTGGTAGATGGCAGGAATGGGGGAGGAGATCAGGTAGCTTTGATGATCTCTCTACACATGAGAATATTTGGTCCTTTCTAACATAGTTCTCCTTTCCCATCCCGTGAATTTTGTAACTTATGCTCTTTCGGCCAAATAACACTTTTTCCTGTTCTGCAACTTTGTGAAACCTCACTGTTCATTTGACTGTTTCTGGAATGCACCCATATTAGTCTTATTTGCCATACAAATAAATATGAGGAGGAAATTATTCATTTTTTTAAAAGTGCACAGTCACTTGTAAATGGGACTCCATTTCCACGTGTATTTGACCATCAGCTTGACCTTTTAGCTTCAAACGTGGATCCCATGCTCAGTTCTGAGGTAAGGGAGTTCTACTTGATGTCTAATTTTATGTAACGTCTCAGTTTCACACTGAACCACCCCAGGTTTGTGAGTAGGGCAATATTTAAGCTGCGCCTCCAAATTATATCACAATGCCTTGAATTTAGAAGCGAAATAGCAATATTTCAAAAACTCCTATTGAAAAATTCATTCATTATTTTCAGAAATGCTATTATATTAATCTTATCAAGGAATGCGCTTATCAGAATTTTGTTTCCCTTTAGAATATGTTCACAAAAAGCACATTTTATTTTGGAATTTCTTGATGTTTAAGTGTGACTAAGAATACACCACATTTTGACTCTCAATGTCTCCTCCAAAATTAGTGTCTGCCCTATAAGGCTGCTGAACTGTTTTAGAGTTCCACTATTTTCTTTGTTTTCACCTGCTGAATAAAGTATATATATAATTGGTGTAATGTTAAATGTCACAGTTTCAGAGTCTCTTGCAGACATAATGTCGAAATATATAACAAAACATCATAGTTTACAAAGGCATGTCCCTTGGATTCTGGAATGTTAGTTGATTATACATTTATTGTTAATCTAACAATGGGAATTATAAATATCAAAACCCTTTTCAATTTGCTTTCCAATTGACACAAATGCTTTATTAATATTCTCTTTGGGGCTAGCTTGGAGTTAAATAATTCAATCGGCAATTTCTTAAGAAAAGAAGAATTTGATTTCTTATTTGAGAATAATAGAAAAAAAATTCTTGAAAGTTCTGCCTATATAGCAAAGCTCTTGATTTTTATAGTAAATTAGTAAGCACACAATGTTGAGGTTTTTTTCATGCTGTAAATACAATTAGGTCATAATGTGATTATTTTAATTTTATATATCTTGCTTTTAGTGTAAATGGTATTTTTGATTATGACAGTAAGACACTATAATTCTCCAACCTTATACATTTTTTTTAAAGATTCTATTTACAGAAGCAGTTTATATTTTTTATTATTTTATTTTTTGAGGAAGATTGGCCTTGAGCTAACATCTTTTGCCAATCTTCCTCCTTTTTCCCTTTTTCTCCCCAAAGCTCCAGTAGATAGTTGTATGTCATAGTTGTACATCCTTCTAGTTGCCGTATGTGGGACGCCACCTCAGCATGGCTTGATGAGCGATGAGTAGGTCTGTGCCCAGCATCCGAACCAGTGAACCCCGGGCTGCCAAAGCAGAACACGCAAACTTAACCGCTATGCCACTTGGCCGGCCTCTATACTTTGTTTTTAATTTTAAAATCACGTTATATAGAACAAGATTAATTTTTCAATCATATATTGTATTTAAATAATTTTAGTCCTTATTCAATTTACTAAAGAATCTAGTTTTCATCTTAGGAAACTTTTTTCTTCACAAGAATATTTCTGATTCATTATAGTAAAGAAATTGAAAATAAAATGATGAATTGAAAATTTTCTGTATGATAACACATTATTCTTATCCTGTCCCTTTTCTTTACCTATATTCTTTAAGTTTAACTCTTTTTAGAACAAAATGAATCTTACATTTCCATTTCTTTCTCAATATAATAGTTAACTGAACATTAAATAGTTTACTTGTGTATACATGGTTAGTGCCTATAGTCTAAATAATTACATGTTTTTCCTTTAAGCATTCTGTTTAATACTTATTAATAGTGTATTTATGGTCAAAGTCATTTACATGATGCATAGACTAGAAACCAGGTAAAAAAATAAACTTCTCTAATTCATTTCTATACATTTATCTGCATAATCAAATAATACATTTGAATGAAATTGCCTGAGTTGTTTATATTTTATTAAGATGCAACAACAGCATGAATTCTACATAAATTTACCAAATGTCAACTACATTTTTCATTTAAAGTATGATATTTCAAACCTACTTATTGATATTGATTTTGTGTTTTCTAGTTTCTTCTTGTAATTTTTCATTATCAAATAAATAATTATAGCTATTTCACATTTAAATATTATTTCAAATTTATGACAAGTTTCTACTATAATTGATTTTACATCTTGACTATTTTGTGCATGAATTTCAACTTTTTTTCTGATAAACATGAGCATGAAGCTCATTTGAGTAAAAATGCCATGGAAATAGTGATTATAATTATTATTATGGTCATTATTATCATTATCATAATTATTAACAATTTTTTCGTGATGATTGTGTGCTCTAACATGACATTTTAATCTCATGGGACCAAACTTGCCCTTACATATAGGGACTCAGTATTTTGGGGTTGCAATTAGATCCATGGTAAGGAAGCTTGAAGATTTGTTTCTTCCTTTGCATTCTGCTTTGCTCTAATATGCCTGGAATTCTTAAAGCCATAAACACAGGAAATGTGCCTTTCACACACCCAATTAACAGGGAATCATTGTCTTGTCTTACCTGCTGCATTCCCAGTGTTAAGAAAATCTAAGGGAACACTGGCTAAAGTCTAATAATATTCAGTCAGTGTATGGAACTGCTTCACACGTGTTGTCCAAAACAAATGGCTCTTTTCCCTAATCAAGAACACAACCTATTTGCATTCCAAGTTTTCAGCAGAAATTTCAGACTGAAACTGACATCTTTCCAGCTCATGTGGAAAGTTCAGCTTGAAACTCCTGGCAATGGGGCTTCAAGGCAGAATGACTAGAGAGATGGCAGGAAACCTGTCCTCAAATCCTCCTATTGACACGTTAGACACTAAATGTTACCTTCCTGAACATATCTGCTGAGGGTCACCATCTGTGGATGACACTCAATGTTATGATGCCCATAGCATTGATGCAGAGGTGGTATAAAATGGGTTTGCTGAAAGACCATTTCCTCCATTCTGTAAAATGGATGTTAAAGGCAATGTCCACTCTTGTACCTCACTTTCTTCCTAAAGGATTCATGCATTGAAGTCCTTTTCTAATACTGTGGTGGGAAAAACATGGCCTGTTTGAAATTTTACTGTGCATTTCATCAGTTAATGAAAACTGTGAATTCCAATTCATTTTTTCTCCTAGCTCTGAGCATAAAATTTGACCCTCTTCTTCTTGCTAGATAATCACAGATATTCTTTCATCTGGTTCCTTGGTGGTTTTGATCTTCTTTTTATATTTCATGGTCTAATTGTACAGGCATGCCTCAGAGATATGGCAGATTCGATTCCAGACCACCAGAATAAAGGAATACCACAAGAAAGCAAGTCACACAATTGTTTTTCGTTTCCCAGTGCATACATGAGTTATATTTCAACTATACTATAGTTTATTAAGTGTGCGATACCATTATGTCTAAAAAAACTCCAAGGGCCGGCCCCAAGCCTAGTGGTTAAGTTCGGCACGCTCTGCTTCAGCCACCTGGGATCAGTTCCTGGGTGTGGACCTACACAACTCATCAGTGGCCCTGGCCAATGCTCTGGCAGTGACCCACATACAAAATAGAGGAAGATTGGAGAGATGTTAGCTGAGGGTGAATCTTTTCAGAAAAGAAAAATACTTTATTGCTTAGGAATGCTGAACATCTGAGCCTTCAGCAAGTTGTCATCTTTTTGCTGGTGGAGGGTATGGCCTTGATGTTGATGGCTGCTGACTGATCAGGGTGGTGGTTGCTAAAGGTTGGTTTGGCTGTGGCAATTTCTTAAAATAAGACAACAATGCAGTTTGCAGTATCAATTGATTCTTCCTTTTACAACCAATTTCTCTGTAGCACGTGATGCTGTTTGATAGCATTTTACCCACAGCAGAACTTCTTTCAAAATTAGAGTCAATCATCTCAAAGCTTCATCAACTAGGTTTATGTAATATTCTAAATCCTTTATTGACATTTCAACAATATTCTTAGCATCTTCACGAGGAAGAGATTCCATTCCAGGAAAACAGTTTCTTTGCTCATTCATAAGAAGCAACTCCTCATTTATTAAAGTTTTATCATGAGATTACTGAAATTCAGTCACATCTTCAAGGTCCACTTCTAATTCTGGTTCTCTTGCTACTTCGACCATGTCTGCAGTTATTTCCTCCACTAAAGTCTTGAACCCCTCATAGTCATCCATAAAGGTTGGAATCAACCTCTTCCAAACTCCGGTTAATGTTGATATTTTGACCTCTTCCCATGAATCATGAATGTTTTTAATGGCATCTAGAATGGTGAATCCTTTCCAGAAGGTTTTCAATTTACTTTGCCAAGATCCATCAGAAGAATCACTATCTATGGCAGCTATAACATTGTGAAATGTATTTCTTAAATAATAAGACTTAAAAGTCAAAATTACCCCTTGATCCATGGCTACAAAATGGATGTTGTGCTAGCAGGCATGAAAACAAGATGAATCTCATTGTACATCTCCATCAGACCTCTTGGGTGACCAGGTGCATTTTCAATGAGCAGTAATACTTGAAAAGGAATCTTCCTTTCTGAACAATAGGTATCGAAAGTGGGCTTAAAGTATTCAGTTAACCATGTTGCAAATAGATGTGTTCTCACCCAGGCTTTGCTGTTCCATTTATAGAGCACAGGCAGAGTAGGTTTAGCATAATTCTTAAGGGACCTAGGATTTTCGGAATGGTAAGTGAGCATTGGCTTCAACGTAAAGTCACCAGCTGCATTAGCTCCTAACAAGAGAGTCAGCCTGCCCTTTGAATCTTTGAAGCCAGGCACTGAATTCTCCTCTCTAACTATGAGAGTGCTAGATGGCATCTTCTTCCAACATAAGGCTGTTTCATCTACATTGAAAATGTGTTGTTTGGTGCAGCCACCTTCATGGATTATCTTAGCTAGATCTTCTAGATAACTTGCTGCAGCTTCTACATCAGCACTTTCTGCTTCACCTTGCACTTTTATGTTATGGAGATGGCTTCTTTCCTTAAACCTCATGAACCAACCTCGGTTAGCTTCAACTTTTCCTCTGCAACTTCCTCACCTCTCTCAGCCTTCATAGAATTGAAGAGAGTTAGGGGCTTGCTCCAGATTAGACTTTGGCTTATGGGAATGTTGCCGCTGGTTTGATCTTCTATCCAGAGTGCTGATACTTTCTCCACAGCAGCAATAAAGCTGTTTCGCTTTCTTATCGTTCTTGTGTTCACTAGGGTAGCACTTTCCATTTCCTTCAAGAACTTTTCCTTTGCATTCACAACTTGGCTAACTGGCACAAGAGGCCTAGCTTTTGGCCTATCTCAGCTTTCAATATGCCTTCCTCACTAAGCTGACTCATATCTAGCCTTTAATTTAAAATGAGGGGCGCACAGCTTTTCCCTTCACTTGAACACTTAGAGGTCACTATAGAGTTATTAGTTAGCCTAAGTTCAATATGGTTGTGTCTCAGGGAATACAGAGGCCCAAGGAGAGGGAGAGAGATGGGGAAACAGTAGGTGGAGCAGTGAGAACACACACAACATTGATTGATTAACTTCACCATCATATATGGGCCTGGTTCATGACGCCCCAAAGCAATAGTAACATCAAAAATCACTGATCACAGATGACGGTAACAAATATAATAATAATGAAAAGTCTTGAAATATTGCGAGAATTTCCAAAATGTGACACAGAGAAATGAACTGAGTAAATGCTGTGGGAAAAATGATGTTTATAGACTTGCTCAACACAGGGTTGCCAGAAACCTTCGATTTTTAAAAAATGCAATATCTATGAAGTACAATAAAGCAGAGCACAAGAAAATGAGATACGCCTGTAGTTGTGTATTTGATTTTAGGTCTTCTCAAATAGATTTTGGAAACAGGCAGTTGAAATAAATGACAAATAATTTGTGCATTATATTGTTTCTTTTTCTACCCCAGCAGGTGATAGTTTCATCAGGTCTACCTCGAGTATGGCATGAGAGGTGGGGGAATATATTTGCAAATCCTAGCTCTGTGATATAGACACAAAACATGCAGAATTCAAACAGACTGAAAGTGCCAGAACATAAGGTGAAGCTTTCTTTCTTAAAATTATCCTTCAAAAACAGGAGTTCCCTTATGTTTCAGTCCTTGTGTAACTTCTCATATTAAAGATGCTCTTCTAATACTCTGCTGTGATCAAAAAATACTACTTGGACAAGATCTCCACCTGAAACGAACTCAATTAATGCTCGTTTTGGAGCTAGCACTGGTAAAAGAAAATAAAGAAATTTAACAAGGATTTGGTAAATATTACTTGGAAATAAAGTTTCTACAGTTTATGCTTATGATGCACATTTATAATATAACAGAATAAATGAAAAAAAATGCTTTCTTTTTATTTTACAAATGGATAATTGTCTCTTTAGATTAAGTATCCAGTGACATCATCCTATGGGGATCCCAGAACAGACACTCGGACCCTAAGATGACCTAGAAAGTTCCTCTAAGGTAGATGTTTCAGATGTGTGTGAAGATTCTGAACAAAAGTTTTAATGAAATGTGAGGGCAAAAAGAGCAATATTTCTCAACTGATATTTGTATTGATATAATTTTTAACTTTGTAGCTATAATCCAATTAGGAAATTACATATAATTGGGTATTTGACTTTTATCTATATCGCTATAAATTAGTACATTCAATTTGCAAAAGCTTCTGTTTTTTCTTCCAGATAGTTCTACTGGAAAATGAGAGATCACCTCATATTCAGGCTAATAATGTTTGAGAGAATGCTTATTATATTCTAATCCTTTTTAGAAGCAAGTAGCAATTAGTCTTAGAAATTGAAACTTTTTTCCAAATACTGACCATTTGTCCTTATGTGACCTGGAGACTAGAGGGTAATTAATATAGTTATCTGTACTCCTGATTTCATGAGGAATTCCAGTGGTGGTAATTTGAATTCTAGAGAATTGACATTTTTATCACTGACCATGCTGGTAATTTCCTTACTTAGTTTCATTTAATATTCACAGCATTCACTGAGATGGTCTTGGCATAGGCAGAACGAATGGATGGAAACATAAAAAGTTAACAGAGATATGTGTTGATATAAAATTTTAATTTTTTCTTTATTTTTTGTTTTCCAATTTTTTTCATAATGGGGAAGTATTATTTTTATAATTTTAGTAGAGCAATGATGTGTGAATCAAAATTTATTTGCTAAACGATGACTTTACAAAAACGATAGACCCAGAATCAAAGTCCATATTTTTCCCTGGACCACACTCTCCTAAAAACTTTTCAGGACCCATATGAATTATTTCTATGTCACTGTTATTTAATTTGATTGCTATAATTTACATGAATTGTATGTACATACTCAGAGGGAAAATAAAAGACTAGAAATTTGCTTTTCAACCTATGAATTCTTTTTTTATATGACCACAACCACTAAGGAAAACAAAATACATAATTTCTTTCATTTTTTTCAATGCTTTATCAAATTGTGAAAATTCTTTGAAAACTTTCATTTCAATAGATCTAGTAAGCTGAGAATATACTAGTGAGGTATTCTCCCTCATTCAGGCAAAATTTCTTCTTTAAGGCAAATGAGGACTGAGCAAATTTAGTGGACAGAACTTAGGAAAAAAACAAACCCATCTTGTAACATTCTTGAATATGGCTGCCCAGTTAAATATTTTAATACCTGCTGTTAATCATCCTCTGACTAAATGACAAGTTTAGCAATTTTTGTTCATTTTTCCCCATTGGTTATTTTTAGAAAATAAAATAGCTAAACTTCATTACAAATCTTTCAATACAGAAATACCAAATGGACCTAACATCTCCACCCCTTAGGGACTCATAAGTGGTCTAACTAGGTAATTCTTGTTAATATCCCCCTAGCTACATCAGGTGGAGAATGGCCTCCAAGGATCTGGTTGGAGTTAGAACACTTATCCACTAGGCTAGAAGCTTTTGGAATATGGGACTTATTCTATCTTTATCTTCTTCTCCCATTTATGTCCAGTAGCCAACACAGAAACTGCCATCAATGAATACTGCTGACAGAATGAAGGACCAAAAGAGGACGTAAAACCATGCAGACTCTTTTCATGGACTTTGGAGCTGGAATGACTATGGAGCTTACAAATTCCCTTAAATGGGCCCATCTCTAGGCAATTTGTCAAGATTTGTAATAGCATAAATTGTGACTGATCTTGCCTATCTCTAAGAAGCTAGAGTAATAAGAAGTGAGATTTATCAATGTTCTATAGTCATTTACTTTAAGAATTAATGTTTTGCACTGCTGTGAGGGATGAGAGGAAAACCAGTAACATAGGTTTTGCAGGTTATTGTGAGAAAAGAGCACTGTGTTTTATCTCAATATATAGAAGAGAAGTAAATAATAAATGTGTCTCTCACCTTAAAGACTGTCTACAAGAAAAGTATCTTCACCCAATAACTTATAACAAGGTTTACAGATATGGTCCAAAAAATATCATAATTTTTAGCCTTACCTGATCATCTGTGTGTATGCATATTCTAAAAGAAGAATTTCAATCTGCTTACAAGCAGGGATGTGAACAAACAATTTATGAAGTAGTTTTATTTTCATATATAGTGACTAGAGGCTGCAAACTTGCTGTTCATATACTGAGGCCAAGTATGTGGCAGTCAGATAACAGTGATTCTAAACATTTTTCTAAAAAGCATTATTAGTTTTTCATTACTAGGGTAAAAATAGAAAAATGTTACTTACCAGAGGGAGTTACTATGAGCTTAGTCCCTTTTCCAAATATCTTGATCCAATTTGATCTGTCACACTGGTTACACCTTCTACAAAAACTCAGCCTCCTCCTGAGCTTCATGTTGTAACTAGCAGTTAAAACACTGTGTACTGGCAATTTGATCTCCTGGGTTCCTTTGGAAGTCCTTGAATATAAGTTTTGGGGCATCAGATATTTTATAAGTTTTCCTCAGATAAATTGACCAAAACGCCTGTTTTCCAACAAGGCACTAATCATTGAAAATCATTGATTTAAAATGGAAAGAACAAGAGTAGAAAAAGAAAAGATCAGGCCCAACTGGTCAACCAACTACTTTTCTAAATTCCTAGGAAAAGAACACAGTGAATTAACATTTTTTTTTATTTCCAGGTGTTCAATTGTGTTGAAACTGCTCACAGATTACATCAAAGCAAATGCCCTTTTGTTCTCGAAATTACAAGGGTTGCTTCATTAGCAATTTGGGAATGTATTTATGAAAGGAAGAAACTCTTCAGTAACTGAAGTGGAAATATGCCAATGCAAACGTACTTGAGAATGTGAAGAAATTTCTTCGTTTTTATTAAAAGCACCTTTACCATTTGGCAATATAATTCTTTACCTGGTAACGCCAAATGAGAAAATAATTTCGGTGATGACATTATTTTCCTGGAATAAAAGAAGAGATTTGTAGAATTCTATCTCCTATGAAATAATAGATTGTTTATTTGAATTAAAATTGAAAACATATCAAGCATCTTTTGTGATCACAAGATGTGTAACTAGAAATCAACTGTCAGAAAAAAGCTAGAAAAGACACAAATATGCTACTGAATAACTATTGGATCAATGAAGAAATCAAAAAAGAAATTGAAAATTACCTAAATTCAAAGGAAAATGAAACACAGCATACCAAAATCTATGGGATGCAGTAAAAATGATACTAAGAGGGAAGTTTACAGCAACACAGGCCTACCTGTAAAAACAAGAAAAATCTCAAATAAACAATTTAACATTACATCTATGGGAACTAGTTAAAAAAAAGAACGTATGAAGCCCAAAATCAGTAGAAGGAAAGAAAAAGCAAAAATTAGTGAGGAAATAAATGAAATAGACTAAAAAGAAAATGGAAAGGATCATTGAAAATAAGAGCCAGGTCCTTGGAAAGATAAACAAAATTGACAAATCTTTGCTAGGCTCACTAAAAGCAAAAGGGAGAAGTCTCAAATAAATAAAATTAAAAATGAAAGAGGAGGAGGGCGGAGTCAAGATGGCGGCGTAGGCAGACTCGGAACTCACCTCCTCCCGTGGACACAGCCAATTTACAACTACTTGTGGAAAAATTACCCCTGAGACAGAACTGAAAACTGGATAAGAGGAACTCCTGCAACAACGGACAATCTAACTGAGGTGGAAGAGGCAGAGACTCCCTTGTGGAGAGGAAAAACGCCGCCTTCACAAGCCGCAGTGCCTCACGGCCGCCGGGAGCAGCCCACAGGTCCACAGCCCTCCCTGGAGGCGCGGGGTCCTGAGCTGGGGAGCGCCCCTGCTGTGGGCATTTTGTGGACCCAGCACAATCGAGACCAG